CCAAGGCAGCCAAAAATAAATAAATAAATAAATTAATTAATATATATATATATATATATATATATATATATATAAAATAAAAGAGATCTGGAGATAGGCAGCTGCACACTGGCAGCGGGAATCCTGCCTCCTTCCAGTTCACCGCACTGCCATCCATCAGATGGGGCAATACCCTCATAGTCTAAAGCAACAGCTAGAGCTCCAGCCATTCCAGGATGCAGGACGGAGGAAAAGAAGAGCATGTCACCTTCCTTTCAAGGAAATATCCTGTAAGTACTGAGAACACTTCCACTTCCACTTCACTGTGCAGAACTTAGTCCTGGGAGAGCCACAGACTTACAAGGATGGCAAGAACTGTCCTTGGATGAGAGATAAGGTACCAACCCCTGATGAACTTTTCTGTTACTAAATAAGAGGGACAAATAGATGTTTGTACAGGCAACTAGCAGCCTCTAACACTGCCAACATGTCTTAACTTTATATGTCTAAAGTAGTTTGCACGTACTGCTGTAACAAATACCACAGACTGTGAGGCTTAAACAACGGAAATGTATTTTCTCACAATTCTGGAGGCTAGAAGTTCAAAATCAGGGTGTTAGCATGTTTGATTTCTCCTGAGGCCTTTCTCCTTGGCTTGCAGAAGGGCAGGAGGGGCAGTCATAGGAGAAAACACAGGACATGAAGAGGTAATCAGTGCCACCGGGCATTATGGCAAGGTTGGGGGCAAGTGGGTACAGACATGTACAGGGAGGCCATGTGAGATGCCTCTGAAGACACCACGTCCATCTGCCAGGGATGTGGACTGTAGCTTGAGCAGCCCCATGTTGAGGTATCCATTACAGAGTTCAGGCATCAGATGTGTGGGCAGACAGGATTAACACATCTGTAGAAATCATACTGCCCATACTTTCTCATCAAAGATGTGGATTTGTTGCAATTAGATTTTTCGTCCACCTGGAATTTATTTTAGTGATGGTGTGAAGTAAGAATCTTATTTTTCTATTGGGATATCCAAATGTTCCAGCATAATTTATTGAAAAATCCCTCCTTTCTCCACTGCTTTTTTTCAGCTCTGTTAAATGATTGACATGCAATTTAATCAGCTTATTGATTTCTACAAAGGTCTTGCTGGGATTTTGATTGGCTTGCTTTGAATATATAGAGCAATTTGGGGAATAACTGACATCTTAATAATACTGAGTTTTTCAATCAATGAACACAGTATCTCAATTTATTAGGTATACATTCATCTCTTGTGATTATTTTATAGTTTCAGCATGCATATCTTGTACATATTTTGTTAGGCATTAAGTATTTCATGTTTTTTATGCTGTTGTAAATGGTACTATTTTTAAAAATTTATTAAGGTTGCAGGAAATTTTATTGCTGGAAATTTTGATTTCCAACAATTGATCTTTTTTGCACCTTTACTTTAACTCTGTGACCTTGAAGCCACACAACTCAGTTTGGGACTTGACCCACTGTCTTTTAATAAAAATCACACACCTGGTCTCAGTACCTACTGAAGTTTAGGTTCTTTATGTCTCTGCGCGGAAGGAATTCAGCGAGAGGCGAAGTAGATTTATTGAGAGAAATACACACTCCACAGAGAGAGTATGGGCCATCTCAGCAGGCGAGAGGCCCTGAAATATGGGGTGGTTAGTTTCTATGGGCTGGGTAATTTCATAGGCTAATGACTGGGAGGATTATTTCAACTATCTTGGAGAAGGGGGTGGGGATTTCCAGGAGTTGGGACACTGCCCACTTTTTGGCCTTTTAGGGTTAGCCTTGGAACTGTCATGGCACCTGTGGGTGTGTCATTAGCATATGGCAGTGTGTTACAATGAGCGTATAATGAGACTCAAGGTTTACAGGAACTTGAATCTTCTGCTATCTTGGACCTAGTTGGAGTTGTTTTTTTTTTTTTTCTTCCTTCCCACTCTGTGAGGCATGCGGAATCTTAGCTCCCCCACCATGGGTCGAACCCGTGCCCCCTGCAATGGGGGCATAGAGTCTCAACCACTGGCCGGTCAGGGAAATCCAGACCTAGTTGGTTCTAACCAGTTTATGTCGTATCCTCAACGGCTGTCATTCCTTTGAAGGTTGTGCCCTGCCCCCTTCCCTCCTGTTTCAACCTTGGTAAACTCACTTGTTAGTTCTAGAAGTTCTGTAGATTCTTTGGGATTTTTTTGTGTAGACAATCATGTCCTCTGCAAATAGTAACCGTTTTATTTCTTTATTTCCAATCTCTATGCCTTTTATTTCTTTTTCTGGCCTTCTTGCACTTGCTAGGACTCCCAGGAGGATGTTGAATAGTAGTGGGAAGAGTGGACATACCTACCTTGTTGCCAACTTTACAGGGAAGGCGTTCTCTCACCATTAAGTATGTTTTCAGCAGCAAGGAGATAATCACATCAAATATAGTCAATATAGGTGCTGCAACAAAACATTAGGTTAACTTTACTTTTTTTGTCAGCCAAGGCAAAAATGACCCTGCATGATACTTAAGTTCCACTATAACTTCATCAATTGCAACGTGATATGAAAACATCTATGATTTCTATTGCTGACAAAGTCGCAAGGCACTGCTGATACTACTGTGGTTTTTGCCAACATATAATTGAAGGAAATGCTAAGTTTCACCTAGAGGTTAGCTTAAACAAGGATAAGCTTTTTCTATTCTAGGTCCGTAGTTAAAAACGTGCGCCAGGGGAAGAAAGCCAGAGTCCACAGAGAGGAGCGTTCTGGCTTCCTAGAGAGGAAGCTCGTGAAGCTTGGGCGTCGCAGCCGACGTAGTGACGCGCTTCCGGTCACGCCGCACATTGCGCCTTTCCTGAGGTGAGTGTTGGGGGTTTGTGGCCCCAGCAAAGCTGCTGGGGCCACGCTCTTTACTCCCCTGGTGGAGGCTGTTCCCTTAGTCCCTGATGCCGAGGAGGAGGGAGTCGGGCGGCGCCACCGGATCCGGGGAGCGAGGGCGACCGCCGGGCAGTCCAGCCCGCCCTGGTGCCTTTTCCCCAGCCCGCTGCGGCTGCCTTAGGAAATGGAGGCTGGGTATGGAAAGGAGACGCCCTTTGACCCGACACAGCCACAGCCTCCCCTGCTCCCTGGTCCAACAACTACTTACTGAGCAGCGAAATGCCAGCTGCTCTCGTAGGTTCCCAGGATGTAGCTGCGAATGAGACGGCCGTGGGCCTCTCCCCCAGGGAGCTTTCAGTTTAATGGAAAGCCCCCTGTTAACCCAGTGCGATCGTTTCACTCCACCTGCTCTGAACCCTGTAGTTGCGGTCTGTTGCTTTTAGGATGAAGACGAAGTCCTTGACGTGCAGAGGCCATGCGGGACTTGGCCTCTTGCAGCTTCTTCACCTTCGTGTGCAGCACACTTCCCTTGGCTCTGCTACAGTCTTCTTGGACTTTCATTTCGGGAACGTGTTTTTGCACATGCTGTTACTTTCGGAAAGATTTTTCTTCCAGCCTAGTTAATTCCTATTCTTAAGCCTCCCCATCTAGGATTAATTCTCCCTGGCACTAATCACGATTGTGGTCTTAAAGCTAACTATGAGAATCTTTGATTTCTTTAGTCTAAGCTCCGTGATGGAAGAGATCAAAACTTTCTCTCTCCACTGTTATCTCCTGTGTCTCATGCTTGGCCTGGAATGAAATAAATATGTGATAAATGTTTGTGGGATGAAGAAAACGTACATCAGTGTATTATCTCAAACTGGGAGAGGTGGTATACAAGAAAGGGAATACAGTGCTGGTGCAGTGTGTAACCCAGGGCCCCCGACCTGATCTGTGGAGACAGGCGGTGATCTGAAGGGTGAGCAGGCAGTTACGTAGATGAAGAGAGGTCAGGCTGCTGGAGAGTATTGCACACAGAGACTGTCAGTTCCAAAGGTTCTAAGGTTGGAGAAGAGTGGTTCATGCAGAGGAGCAGTAGGTACAAAGATCCTGAATTAGCATAGTAGATAAACTGAAAGATGATGAGGCTAGCAGGAAATTGCAGCATGCAGTGAGTTTTGGAAGATGCTGGCTTTTTGGTAGAATATGACTGGTTAACAAGAATACAAAGTGTCTGTAGGGGATGATATAATTAAAGTAATAACCCAGACCTTGTGGCATGTTGTGTGGCCTCTTCAGGGTCCTTTGCTAATTTGTTTCTGGTTATCACTGGGTGTAGAGTGGGGTGATGATCAAAAAAGATGCCTGCCCCAAGGTCCAAGAAAAGGAAACCTTACTCTAAGATTCTTTTTCTGATTTTGGGGGGGTTACTTTTACCTATTTTTCCGTATTAACCTTAGAATCACTTTATCAAGTTCTAAAAAAAAAAATCCTGTTGGGATTACTATCGGAAGCACTTGGATGTAGTTATTAACGCTTGGCCTCTGGAATCTGGCTTATCTGGTTTGGGATCCAAGTTCATTCATCCACTGGGTGACTGACCTTGGTAGAGAAAATTATTGTCTTAGACTTGTCTTCTTATTTGGAAAAAAGAAAAGGTTCAAAGGATTATTGTGGAGATTGAATGAGAGAATATGTATTTTTCCTCCAAAAACATATTTCTATTTGTTTTTACCTTTTATGTTTCTCAGTAAACTTTTATTTTAAAAAAATGAAGGTCTGGATTTCTCTTGTTAGGGTTTGCTTTGAGTTTTCTGGTGTCTTTTGCTTGTTTTGCTCTTTGTGTATTCATGTTCCCCTGTACTCATGTCTTAGGACAGGCAGCGTTGCATGATGTTGGTGAGTACAGCCTATGGTGCTGAGGGCAAATTACTTACTTTTCAAATTCTCAGTTTCCTCAGAATTCAAACTTCATGGCATAATGTGGATTAAAAGAGGAAATATTCATACACCACTTACCAAGTGGCATTTAGTAAATGATTGCTACTGTTACTGGCAAGTTTGTTGTTTTAAAGGAGAGCCTTTGTCTGGGTTGGGCTCACTCTTGTTTCTCTTTGCTTCTTCCCTCAGCCCCTGCCCTTCATTGAGAGGAAGCCCAGGTGATGGCTGTCATGCCCCTGAGAGCCTGGCACCAGGTGAGCTGTGATTCCCTCAGGTCAGCCTTGGAGAGATCTGATTTGAAGGAAATGGGGGATGAGAGAGATGATTCTGGCAAAAGTCTTAGAGCCAAAGCAGTAGGAAGACCCTTGTTGATTCTCTTCAGTAGGACTGGATGCCAGGGAAAGCTGATGATGAGGGATTGAACAGCCAGAAGCCCAGCAAGTGATGGCTGGAGAGAGTGTCCTGGGCAGCAGAAGCCTAGGCTCCTGCACTCTGAGGATCTCTGTTGAGCTAGATGGTTCCCAGGTTCAGTGGTTCCTCCTACAGAGGGACCTGTGAGAATGAAGGACTCAGGCTGGTGCTGTAGGTATTGATTACACAATGAGAGTAATCGAGATTAGTGAGGTCACAAGGTTCTTGGGAAGTAGGGGCAGAGCGATGGCAGGAAGAAGACAAGAAAAAGTGGGCTTGTCCCATTTATTAAAGAAGTTGAGGACTTCCTTGGTGGCGCAGTGGTTGAGAGTCCGCCTGCAGATGCAGGGGACACGGGTTCGTGCCCCGGTCTGGGAAGATCCCACATGCCGTGGAGCGGCTGGGCCCGTGAGCCATGGCCACTGGGCCTGCGCGTCCGGAGCCTGTGCTCCGCAATGGGAGGGGCCACAACAGTGAGAGGCCAGCGTACCGCAAAAAAAAAAGAAAAGAAAAGAACTTGGCTTCAGAATCAGGGAAAATATATTTTCCTTGAGGTCAGTGCTGTTGGCTAATCAAGGCAGGGGGCTGTAATAGGAATAATCTGCACTAGGACAGAACACCTGAAGTGAGGGATCCCATAAAGCCTCAGTGGCTTTGTGGCCTTGAGCCAGTCACTTAACCTCTTTGCACCTTAAGTTCATCTGTGAGGTTGAAGTAAGGTAAGTGAGGTAAGTACCTTACATTTGTGGGACAGGGAAATGTATGGTAAGTACCTTACATTTGTGGGACAGGGAAATTGATTTCTTGAGTTGATTTTACTTTTTGAGACTGATGAGTTGCTGGGTGTTCCTTAACCATTTCCTTCTTCCTGGGACTTATTTGTCCAGTAACTTATCATCTATGAACTATATCCTAAGTCCCAATCCTGGATTTCTGGTATCTGGCAGGTCCTTCTGCCTACTGTCTCACCAAGACATTATCTTACTTGTTCCCGTCCTCCTCTGATCTTCTGTAAGTTGTTAGTGAGTTACTGGTATCACCGTGTCGCAATCCTGACCACTCAGTTTCTAGGTTGCTGAGTAATTGTTGACTCTCCTCCCCCTTGATACCACTTTCAGAGAGTTACCAAGTCTCACTGCTTCTCCTACTATCTCTTGCACTTGTCCCATCTTTTATATTGCCTTCATTCAGGGTTTGTCATTCCTTTTCTGGGATTTTGTTTGCAGAGTTTCCCAGCTAGTTTCTCTGTGTATAGTCTTGTGCTTTCCCATCACCAACTGTTACCTGATAGAGCTTGGTTTCCTGAGCTCGGATTTTATCCTGTAGTCCAGGGTTCTCAGACTTTGGTGTGCGTCAGAATCACCTGGAGGGCTTATGGAAGCACAGATTGCTTTCGGATGGGGCCTGTGAATTTGCCTTTGCAACAAGTTCCTAGGTGATCCTGCTGCTGTTCTGGGGAACCACACTTGGAGAACCACTGTTGTAGTTAGTGGTGACTCATTCAAGGAAGTCATTCAGTTGACTGAGTCAGTTTGTCATTTTAAGTTGTTGATTGTATGGCTGGCTGAGGATGGATTCAGAACAGGACAGGCCTGGGATTGGAGTTAAGTATCCCCATCCCATACTACTGTACTGATTGTACCATAGGGAAGAGGAGTCAGATTCCAGAAACATATAGACAATAAAATTGGCAGGATTTGATTACTGACTGTTAATCGGAAATGAGTAGTGACTAGGGCAAGTAAGTCTAGTGTGAATTTCAATTTTCTAACTTAGGAGACTGGGATGAAATTCGCACTGTTAAATGAGAAACAACACTGTCACTCACTGTGCCAGTTAGTTATGTGAACTGAAAATAGAGTCAGTTTGGCAGGGGGCAGGAAGGGGGGATGCATTTGGTGTTAGATGGGTCAGATGTGTTAGGTCCCTCAGGGAGTGTGAGGCAGTGCTAGGGAGATCTGCAGAATCAGTTGAGGAGTTGGAAGGTGGCAGGATAGTCACTGTGCATTCAGGTAACCAGGTTTGATACCAACGTCTGGGGAATGAATAAGAGTTTTATAAACCAGATCCTGAGCTCTCTGGGAAGGTAGAGTTGGGACCATCAGAGAAGGGAAAGGGTGACTATTAAAAAAGCATGAGCCTTAGTTGGCAGAAACAATTACAGATTGTCTTGGAGGTATAAAGAAAAGCAGTTAAAAGAAATACCCAGCAGCAATTTGATTCCAGAAGCATCTTTTCCCAGGAAAATGCATCAGGAAGCAGAATAGACTGCCCCCGGCAGCACTGAGCTCTCTCTACTGGACATTCTTGAGCACAGGCTGTACAACCCCTTCTTCAAGCAACAGATGAGGGTTGGATGAGACCAGTCATCAAGGCAAAATGTGACTCTGTTCCTGTCATGTGGACTTGAGGTTTAGGGTAGAATGAGCATGTGTGGGGAACAGATGGATTGACTGGGCATTTGGGGCAGTGAAGGGGGAACAGGTCGATCCTGAGATGCCACCTCTGAGTGGTGTCTGGAGAGACTGAAGCTAATTGTTTCCTTGTAGTTGCAACTATAAAAGACAAAGTTTTATAAAATCAAAGAGATTTTGCTCTAGGAGTATTAATTAATGGGAGACTTTCCAGGGTTTTCAAAATGTGTCATGTTTTATGACACTAAATTTTGTGTTCAAATGGAAACTCTTCTGGTAGTGAGAGAAGTTCCAGATTTTTGGTTGTAGCAGTAGTCATTTAACACTCAGTTCTTTCACATTTTCTCATTACTCATCCTTAATAAGACCCTTCCCTCATACTGTCCCCTGTGCCCCACACTCTGGCCCTGAGCCATAGAATTGGCTCTGAGGCAGCAGGAACCTCTTGTTTTAGGAGGTGGTGACCTTTGAGGACGTGGCTGTATACTTCACCCAGACAGAATGGGCTGGCCTTTCTCCTGCACAGAGGGCCCTGTACAGAAGTGTGATGCTGGAGATTTATGGGAACTTGACGTCTCTGGGTAAGGCCACTTTTCTTCTGGGACTCAGATCTATGCTTTCCCATTTCCATCCTTTTTTCCTCCTTATCAGCCGGAGGTGTGGTGTGGAAAGGGAGGAGTCATCTCTTGTATCCTTCACTGATGGTTCTGGGACTGATACCAAATGACCCACTTGAGAGCTTGCTGGGTAGGGACAAGTCTTGGGTCAGTTTGGTCTCAATATAGGGAATTGCTGTCGCCTGGTAAGAGTATGATCTGTCCTCCCAGGGGCTCTGCACAGTAAGGAATAAGTAGCATCCATTGCCAGATAAGTTCTCAGCTTGTTGCTGTCTCCCCATAGTGTAAGGAAGGGTATGACCCCTTCCCTGTGTTTGCATATGTCCTGCAGGATCACTAACTTATGTACTCTTAGGTGTTGTTTTAGGAAGAGGTCACAAATGCTCAGTTTCCACTTGAGCAAAAATCTTGGCTTTCCCCAGTCCTGAGCCCTATTCTGTGGATCTGTTTTATTCTCACTGAGACTCCTGAGCTTTTCCTTCTTTTGACACAGCAGACACAGGACTGAAAGGTGCCATTTTCTACCCCTTTTCAGGATACCCAGTTCCCAAACCTGCATTGGTCTCACTTCTGGAGAGAGGGGATTTGCCTTGGGGCCTGGAGACACGGGATGATCCCCCTGCACAGGGGACCAAAGACATCTGTAAAAGTAAGTGAGGCAGGTTTAGGAACAGCAGCTACAGAGCTTTACAGAGCAGTATGTTTTAAAATGAACTATGCTGGGAAGGATTTAAATAAAACAGATGGGGCTTCCCTGGTGGCGCAGTGGTTGAGAGTCCGCCTGCTGATGCAGGGGACACGGGTTCGTGCCCCGGTCTGGGAGGATCCCACGTGCCGCGGAGCGGCTGGGCCTGTGAGCCATGGCCGCTGGGCCTGCGCGTCCGGAGCCTGTGCTCCGCAACGGGAGAGGCCACAACAGTGAGAGGCCCGCATACTGGAAAAAAAAAAAAAAAACAGATGATTTCTCAAAATAGGTAAAATATGAAACCATTTCCACCAATCTTAATTCTTACTAACATATTTCCAATTAACACATCTCATAATTCTCGAATCTATTGCTCCTTTCTTCTTTTTTAATTTAAAAAATGTTTTTTATTGAAGTATAATTGACATATAACAAATTAGTTTCAGGTATACAAATAATGATTTGATATTTGTATACGTTGCGTTAATGATCACCACAAGAAGTCTAGTTAACGACCGTCCCCTTACATAATTACAAAATTTTTTTTTTCTTCCAGTGAGAACTTTTGATTTACTCTCAGCAACCTTCAAATATGCAGTACAGTATTGTTAACTCTAGTCACCATGCTGTACATTACATTCCCATGACTTATTTTATAACTGGAAGTTTGTACCTTCACCTATTTCTCTCACTCCCTACCCCTGCCTCTATCAACCACCAACCTGTTCTCTGTAACTGTGAGCTTGGTTTATTTGTTTTTGTGTGTGTGGTTTCCTTTTTTTAGATTTTAGATATAAATGAGATTATACTGTATTTGTTTTTCTTTGTCTGACTTATTTCACTTAGCGTAATGCTCTCGAGGTCCATCGATGTTGTCACAAATCGCAAGATTTCCTTCTTTTTTTTATGGCTGAATTAACATTCTTCTGTGTATGTGTGTATGTATGTATCAATCACATTTTCTTTATCCATTCAGCCATCAGTGGACACTTAGCTTGCTTCAGTATCTTGGCTATTATAAATAATGCTGCAATGAACATAGGGGTGCATATATCTTTTCTAGTTAGTGTTTTCATATTCTTTGGTTAAATACCAAGTGTTTTCATTTTCTTTGGAATTCCTGGATCACATGGTAGTTCTCTTTTTAATTTTTTTTTGAAAGCTTCTTTATTTATTTATTTTTGGCTGTGTTGGGTCTTCGTTTCTGTGCGAGGGCTTTCTCCAGTTGCGGCAAGCGGGGGCCACTCTTCATCGTGGTGCGTGGGCCCCTCACTGCCGTGGCCTCTCTTGTTGCAGAGCACAAGCTCCAGACGCGCAGGCTTAGTAGTTGTGGCTCACGGACCTAGTTTCTCTGCGGCAAGTGGGATCCTCCCAGACCAGGGCTCAAACCCATGTCCCCTGCGTTGGCAGGCAGATTCTCAACCACTGCGCCACCAGGGAAGCCCTTCTTTTTAATTTTTTGAGGAACCTCCATACTGTTTTCCATGGTGGGTGTACCAGTTTACATGCCCATCAACATTGCACAAGGGTTCCCTTTTCTCCACATCCTTGCCAACACCTTATTTCTTGTCTTTTTGATAATAGCCCTTCTAATCAGTGTGAGGTGATATCTCATTGTGGTTTTGATTTGCATTTCCCTGATGATTAGTGATGTTGAGCACCTTTTCACGTGCCTGTTGGCTGTCTGTCTTCTTTGGAAAAATGTCTGTTCAGATCTTCTTAGTTTTTGGCTTTTTTGGGTTTTTTTTTTTGTGGTATGCGAGCCTTTCACTGTTGTGGCCTCTCCTGTTGCGGAGCACAGGCTCCAGACGCGCGGGCTCAGTGGCCATGGCTCACGGGCCTAGCCGCTCTGCGGCATGTAGGATCTTCCCAGACTGGGGCATGAACCCGTGTCCCCTGCATCGGCAGGTGGCCTCTCAACCACTGCGCCACCAGGGAACCCTCTTATTTTTTAATTGAATTGTTTGGGGTTTTTTTGCTATTGAGTTGTATGACTTCTTTATATATTTTGGATATTAACCCCTTATCAGATATATGGTTTGCAAATATTTTCTTGTGTTGATAGGTTACCTTTTCATTTTGTTGGTTTCCTTTGCTGTGCGGAAGCTTTTTAGTTAACTGTAGTCCCACTTGTTTATTTTTGCTTTTGTTGCTTTTGCTTTTTCTGTCAGGTTCAAAAGATGATCTCCTAGACCTATGTCAGGAGGTTACTGCCTATGTTTTCTTCTAGGAGTTTTATGGTTTCAGGTCTTACTTATGTTCAAGTCTTTAATCCATTCTGAGTTAACTTTTGTGTCCATTGCTCCTTTCTGAGTTTCATCATTGCCTGTCTCAGAGGCCCTCCTTCCTTGGATGGGATAGATTTATTCAGGAGCAGTTTTTGAGCACTTGTCATGTGCCAAGCTTTGTTTTAGAAGCTCTGGAGGATACAAGTTATGGAGACAGATGTTTAGAGCTGCAAAATGTGTGTCAAGTGCTGTTGTTGATATATACGCAGTGGGCTGTGAAGCATAGCAGGAGGAGAGGTTAGAGTAATTTCAGTTTAGAAGCTCAGGTGATGCTCCTTCAGTGGCAGGGCCATTTGTTCTGAGTTCAACAGATAAGAATGGGTTGCAGATGGGAAAAAAAGGAAGGTAGTCTGACTGGAGGAAGGGAATAGAAGATCCACTGCAATTCCTGGTATAATGTAATATCTGACAGAGACTAGTATCTGAAATATATAAACAACTTTCCATCTCAACAGTTCTCTGCTTTTGAATATTTGGCACTTTCATTTCATTAGTCTCGTCTCAATAGCAGGCTGATGTTGGGGGTTTTAGTAATCTCTAAAATCTCTATCCAGTAGTCCCCCCCTTATCTGTGGGGCATACATTCTAAGACCCCCAGTGGGTGCCTGAAACTGTGGATAATACTGAACCCTATGTAGTTGTTCCTGGGTATCTCTCGGGGATTGGCTCCAGGACCCCTGTGGATACCAAAATCTGCAGATGCTCAAGTCTCATACATAAAATGGCATAGTACAGTAGGCCTCCTGTAACTGTGGGTTCTTCATTTGTGGTTACAGAGGACTGACTGTGTATATGCCATGTCTTTTTCTATACATACATACCTATGATAAAGTTTAATTTATAAATTAGGCACAGTAAGAGAATATCTAAATTGCCAGCATCACTCCTCTTGCACTTTGGGGCCATTATGAAGTAAAATAGGGGTTACTTGAACACAAGCACTGCAATACCGCAGTGGTCAATTTGATAACTGAATCAGCTACTTAGTAATAGGCAGGTAGCATATACAGAGGGATGATTTACATCTGATCAGAGTGGGATGGCTCTAGTTTTCATTATGCTACTCAGAACAGTACACAATTTAAAACTTAAGAATCGTTATTTCTGGAATTTTCCATTTAATATTTTCAGACCGTGGTTGACAAGGAAAGAGAAACTACAGAAAGGGAAACTGCAGATAAGGGGGGATGACAATAATTTTCAGTGTTCTTTTGTTTTCTAGTATAATCCTCAGGTGGCATTTTTGTTTTCTGTTTGTTATGTCAGATGCTGGGACCAACATTGACAATGAGTTAACATCTACATGGGGAGTTTCTGAAGAAAGAGATATGATGATGTCACATGGGCCACAGAAGAATGTTCTTAAGAGAAACAGCTTCCTAGAAACATGTGAACTGGAGAAGCACCAGGAAATCCCCACAGTGAAAAACATTAGAGGAAAGGTTCCAAGAATCCACTATAATAGGAAACCCTTCAGATGTGAGGAATGTGGAAAATGCTTCAGCTATTTTTCTTACTATGTTAGACACCAGAGAATCCACACTGGGGAGAAACCCTTTGAGTGTAATGAGTGTGGAAAAGCCTTTAATGGCAATTCTTCATTAATTCGACATCAGAGAATCCACACTGGAGAGAAACCCTATCAGTGTGAAGAGTGTGGGAGAGCCTTTAATGATAACGCAAATCTGATCAGGCATCAGAGAATCCACAGTGGGGACAGACCCTATCTCTGCAAGGAGTGTGGAAATGGTTTCACCAGTAATTCTGAGTTTGTTATACACCAGAGAATTCACACTGGGGAGAAACCCTATGAGTGTAATGAGTGTGGAAAAGCTTTTGTTGGTAATTCACCACTGCTGCGACATCAGAAAATCCACACTGGAGAGAAACCTTATGAGTGTAATGAGTGTGGCAAAAGCTTCGGACGGACTTCTCATCTTAGTCAGCATCAGCGTATTCACACAGGGGAAAAGCCTTATTCTTGTAAAATATGTGGGCAAGCCTTCAATTTTCATACAAAACTAAATCGGCACCAGCGAGTCCACAGTGAGGTGAAACCCTTTGACTGTGTAGATTGTGGAAAAGCCTTTAGTGCTCAGGATCAATTAAAAAGGCATCTAAGAATCCATATTCAGGAGACTTCCTATGTGTGTGATGAGTGTGGAATAGTCTTTACTAGCAAAAGAAGTCTGCTTCAGCATCAAAGAGTCCATACTAGAGAGAAACCCTGTGAATATGTCAAGTATGAAAAAACCTTTAGGACTTCTTCCCAGCTAGATCATATCCACCCTGGAGAGAAGCCAGTGCTGGATGTTGGATGTTTTGGCCTCCCAGAATTTTTTACGCCCTTTTACTGGTAATAGTACACTAAATTTCCTTTTGGATTCCGTCTTCCACTCGGGTAGAATTTGTGACACGGCCCCAGCTCAGCTGCAGGTTCCTTCCCTCAAGCTATAGCTGTTGGTTCAGATGTCAGTAGATAACCAAAGATAGTCCAGTTAGAATCCCAGACTTGGCAAGAGTTAATAACCTTGTAAATGGTGAGTGTGGCCCTGGCACAACAACCAGATGGCAGACTGTGGCCTGGCAATCCTTTCACCTTCCAGTTAACAAACTTTTGACATTCCTACTCATTAAGATCTTAATCACTCATACTCGTTAAGCAGCTGAGCCTCCTAATGGGCAGTTTCACGGTGGCTGAATGGTATTGGAGAGCCATGTGCACCCATGTGGACTTTGGAAAGCCTGCCAATTATGAATTCCATGGTACTGAATAATCCTCGAACCTCCCAGTACTTCACTGAACAAGAATTTTCTACCACCCTTAGCATTTGGTGTCTGCTCTTTGTCGTGGAGAGAGGAGACTGGAAAAATGAGCAGTGTTTGTTCTTTGGGAGTGGTTGATTAATGTGGCTGGGGGGCAGTCATGAATCCTGGGCTACCACCCCCCCAGGAACAAGAGTGAGGTCTGTGTGCCTTCCTAGGGCACATGAGCTATTCTGGGCCAGTCTCTGAGATGCAAGGACCTGATGCCCAAGGAAGGAGCCTCGAGTTTACCACCATCATCAACCTTACTTTTCAGCAAATGGAAAAACTTCTTGCTGTCGTAAAAGGATAGCAAGAACATTAGATGGGTGGCTGCAGCCCCTGACCCTAAGTGAATCCCTTTCTACCTTGTGCTTCAGATTCTGTGCTGTGCAGTGGGTGGTCAGTGATAGGGAATCTGCTGCTTTCATCGAGCCAGCATCTGTCCTCGTGTCCAAGTGCAGCATCTCAGCTTTCCTTTGGGAGCTACATCTTACCTGCTTCCAGTCCAAATAGTTTCAGAGGGCTGACCCCACAGTCCACCCACCTGGCTGATCCCATCTTCCATCCTCTGATTGCTGTGATCAGTGCAAGGAGGAGAATGTTATCCAAGCCAGGCCAAAGGCATTCCAAGCCATGAGTTTTCAAGGAAGCCTACTGAAGGAGAAACCATTCCCAGTATGGACTTTAAGCTTGTGTCATCTTGGAGTTGCTGGATGCAATGAGAGAAACTGTGCCTGTGAATGGGACCACAAGGCAGTCAGCAGGCTGATGGTTGGAGAGGGACCAGGTCACACTACAAGCATGTGAGCCCTTGGACCTGACACCTCTGAACACAGTTTTCAACTTGTCTCTTGTAAGGATTAATTTGTCATTTAAAATACTTATTTTACTTGAGTAAGTGTGTGTAGTCCCTTGTAATCAAATAAGTCCTGACACATCAGGATCATTTTTAAAATTTTATTTATTTACTTTTGGCTGCGTTAGGTCTTCATTGTTACATGCAGGCTTTTTTTAGTTGCGGTGAGTGAGGGCTGCTCTTCATTGTGGTGCATGAACTTATTGCAATGGCTTCTCTTTGCGGAGCACAGGCTCTAGGCGTGCAGGCTTCAGTAGTTGTGGCACTCGGGCTTCAGTAGTTGTGGCTTGCAGGCTCTAGAGTGCAGGCTGAGTAGTTGTGGCACATGGGCTTAGTTGTTCCACAGCATGTGGGATCTTCCCGGACCAGGGCTCGAACCCGTGTCTCCTGCATTGGCAGGCAGATTCATTACCACTGCGCTACCAGGGAAGCCCACATCAGGATCAGTGATTCCTGAGACTCCCTCTGGCATGGTGTCCTCATTGGGCGGGGCATGTCTGGGGAAGATAAAGACACTGGGTAGGGTCAGATTTAAGGGGAGCTGCCAAACAACTCTGTCCCTGTTTCCTCTGTGTCCCAGGAGAGGGAAATCCCAGAACACAGAGAGGAGAACTAGCAAGGAGAAAGGGTCAGAGGATGGTTAATTTGTCTGCTTGTATTTTCCATATTAAATGGGGGTGTTTTTCACCTGTTGAAATCATCCAGAACATCTGCCAGGAACTCCTGACAGTCTATATACTTATTGGACTCCTACACTAAAATAATCCATGAAAATCTCTCAACTTATTTTACCTCTAACAACAAAGATATTTAAGGACAAATATCTTCAGACTTCCAACAGAGTCAGTTGCATTTATTGCCAGGCAACTCTTTTTCAACCTCATTGCTTTTGTTTTTAAAAGCCCCCCTTTCTCTTCCCCAGAAATTCTTTTGTTAAAGCAGGAACGTAGCTAGATGTGAGCAGAGAAAGGGGGGGCATGGGCCAGATGGCAGGAAACCATGCGTCTTGTAAAAGGCGGGGGTGGGGTGGGGGTCCTTGGAACCTCCAAACTGGCAGGAAACCATACATTTTGGGATATGTGTCCTGGAGGCAAAGAAAGGTAGGAAAAGGCGGGAATCTGGTGTCCGAATGTAACCTTTTGCTCATTATGCTCTCATTACAATAAAATTAGCCTTGCAGATAAGAAGTACCCATCATGCACAGAAGCCATGACACTTCTGATCAAGGCTAAATAAGGACAAAAATTCCTCCCCCGGGAAGGTGGCGCTGGGGTGAAAGTCAGGGAATATGACCCCCAAATCCCTCCCTCCCCAATGAATATTACACCCCATGTAACTGGCTTGCCGAAAAAACTCAGGGCAGCTACTCACCTGAGCCTGCCCCCTCTCCCCAAGAGCGTACTATAGCTTAAATAAATCCTCACTTTACTTTCTTGATCTCCCTGTCTCATCTCTGAATTCTGCCTGGGACGAGGCAAGAACCTTTCACTTTCAGGGTTACCTGAATCTGTGTCTCCCAAACAGCAATTCTTAAGACCCCAAATAAATTCTTTTCCTGTTTGTTGTTTCCTGCATTATGTTATTATTTTTTTTTGTTTGTTTGACAAACTTAGCAATATATACAGAGTCATCTTTGTCTTTGCTTGGGCTTGTGGTTCATTTCTTTCTGTTGCTAAATTGTATTCCATTGCATATATAGGAGAGGAAAAATAATTTTTCCTCTACCCTTTGTTCTTGGTTCAGATCCCACCCTGTAACGACCTCATAAAAAGCAACTTCTAATGGGTTTATATTGTTCCATGTTCGCAGTTTTGAAAAAATTAATCAGCCTAAAATAATTCTTATATCAAACAGGCATATTTGGGGGTCCATATGCTCTTACCCTTGACATGTAGGTGCCCCAATAATCTTATGCATTCATCTACAGAAGAACATCCTAATATCTTTAAGCTTTTAGCCATTATTAATAGAACTTGTGTATAATTTTATGGTAGTTTTTGTTTGAACACAGTTTTTCAAAGCAATTGTCTAAATACTAGAGGTCTGATTTTTCTGTCCTATGCTAAGACTTTTTTAGTTTTGGAAAAAACTGCCAAACTGTCTTCCAGAGTGATTGTACCTGTACTCGACCAGCAGAGAAGGAAAGTTCCTGTTGTTCTTCCACCAGTTGATATTGTCATTTTTTAGAGTTAGCAGTTCAAATAGGTGTGCAGTGCTAGCTCATTGTTGTTTTAATTTGTATTTCCCTAATGGTATATGATGTTGAGTATATTCTTGTATGCCTGTTTACACTCTGTATATCTTCTTTGGCCAGGAGTCTGTTCCGATCTTTGCCCATTTTTAATGAGGTTTTTGTTCTAGGGCTCTTGGGAAAATTTGATTATAAATCCTTTATTAGCTATGTGCTTGGCAAATATTTTTCTCTCAATTTGTGGTTTTTCTAATTTTATAAAATCCACATTATTAACTTTTTTGTTGTTGTTGATAGGCTTTTGGTGGTGTATGTTAAGTCATCTTCACACCCAAGGTCATGTAGATTTTTTTTGTTTTCTTCTAGAATTTTTATAGTTTTTTAATTTAAGTTTGTGGACAGTTTTGGGTGAGTTTGGGTATAAGTTGTAAAGTTTGTGTCTATATTCATTTCATTCCATGTGTTTTCTAATTACTTACTTGGAGAGTAGTGTCCAGTTTTCCCAATACCATTTTTTCAGGGGACTGTCCTTTCCCTGTTGTATGTTCTTGGCCCTGTTGTCATGAATTAACTAACCACACACATGTGGGTTTATTGCTGGGCTCTCTATTCTGTTCCTTTATTCCGGGTATCTGTGTTTGTGACAGTTCCACACTGTTTTGGTTACCTTAGTTCTGTGATACAGTTTGAAGTCAGAGGGGGAGATGCCTCCAACTTTTCTTTTTTCTCCGAATCCCTTTGACCATTCAGGGTCCTTTGTGGTTCCATACAAATATTTCTGGTTTTATGAAAAATGCCATTGGAAATTTAATCAAGATTGCATTGAATCTGTAGAAGCCGCCTTTGGGTAGAATGGACATTTTAGTAATAGTTATTCTTCCAATCCATGAGCACAGAATATTTTTCTATTTATTTGTGTCTTCTTCCATTTTTAAAATCAGTGCTTGGTAGTTTTCTGAGTACAGGTCTCTCATTTCCTTGGTTAATTTATTCCTAGGTATTTTGTTCTTTCTGATGAAGTTATAAATGGGATTTTCTTAATGTCTCTTTCTAGTGGTTCATTATTAGTGCATAGAAACTTAACTGATTTTTGTATATTGATTTTATAGTCTGCAACTTCACTAAATTTTATTCCAACAGTTTTTTTTTGTGGAGTGATGTGGAAAGTTGCAATTCTAAAATCCCACTGTTTCTACTGTATCCCAGGTCATCCATAACACCCAAGACATGGTGGCTCCTAATGTAATCTTACGGTGTCTCTTAATAACATGTGGACTCCTACAAGGTGAATTAACATCACAACTTTCGTTGAACTGGATCTGGGTAAGTCTTGGCATTTATAACGAAGTTCGATGTGTTCTGTTTTTCTGGCATGGTATTGACATGGTTGTTTTGAAAAGTAATTTACTTTCTAGTAATTTCACACATACAGAAAATTTACCTTTTACAAAGGTAAAAAGTATTCACATTTGCCACTTCACACAACATACTCCAGTGTGTTTTAC